GGAACTCAAGACCTCAGTCAATGAATACAAAATTTAAAATCTTGAAAATAAAGTTGACCTCACAGTGAAGATAGTAAGAAACCATGAACAGAATATCTAAGAATTATGGGATACCATCAAAAGACCAAATTTAAGATTTATTGGGATACAGGAAGGTTCAGAGAGTCAAACCAAAGTAAGATAATCTCTTCAATAAAATAACAGCAGAAAATTTCCCAAGAATGAAAAATGAATGGAAAATCAAATACAAGAGGCTTACAGGACACCAAATGTACAGAATTACAATAGATCTACATCAAGACACTTTATAATGAAAATGCCTAGCATGCAGAATAAGGATAGAATTTTAAAAGCCACAAGAGAGAAAAATCACAGTACCTATAAGGGAAGACCAATTTAGATCTCAGCAGATTTTTCAACCCAGACTCTCAAAGCTAGGAGATCCTGGAACAACATATAGCAAGCTCTAAAATATAATGAATGCCAACTAAGTATCCCAGCAAAATTAAGCTTCAAATTTGACGAAGAAATAAAAACATTCCATGATAAACGAAAGCTAATATTCCACGAGGAGGAAATGAAAAACCATGAAAATCTGTAAAGGAAAGAACTACAATAAAGGAAAAGCCAACCAAAGGAGAAACCAAGTCAAACTAAATATCAAAAATAAACAAAAATGACTGGTAATACAATTCATGTCTCTTTCAACTTTTTGATAAATTTTTACATATAAAAATTTTAACTACAATATCATCTAATTTATCAAGTTTTATTTCATATTTTTTGTGTTCCAATTCTCTTCATAAAGTTATAAAAATATGTTCTTTAAAAGTTTTGTCATTTTATATTATTTTAATATATAATTAATGTGGTATGTGTATATACATTGTGATGAGGTATATTTTACTCTCTTATAATTTAAAATCCATTATTCAAGATTCAAGGGTGAAAAGACAAATCAAATAAAAAAATTGTTTAATAAGGTATTCATAAAGGTAAGGGCAAGGTCGAGGGAAACTAACGAATTTTGTGAAGCACCTTTCCTTCCATAAACTTGGAGAGGTAGGAGGTGAAAGAAGCGAGAGCCATTATGAAAACCTTGTAGGAGAAGGTGACCTATCTGAAGTTATTCCCACCAAAAGCATGAAGAAACCAACCCACAGTCTATTAGAGTCTCACAGGGAGAAATAAAATACCTTGCTCTACTCTTGTATATTCTAAGTTCATCTCTTTGGTGTCCCTTTCTGATGAAACTCAACAAGAAACCACATAACTGACAAACCCAGCTTAATTCCCTCTTAAGATTGGGAGCCATCTCGTCACAAAGGCATGAAAAGTTAATTTCAGCTTTACTATAAATTACTGCAATTTCTAAACTTGCTTGGAATGCTGCCCGTGCCTTGAACTCACCCATGCCTGGCTTTCCCTGACCAGATAACAACCCTCTCTGAAACTTTAGTGGAACCTCATAAATTCTGGCTTTCCCTGGCCAGAAAAGCAACCTCTCTGAAACTCTACTGGCACCTCATAAATTCTGATGTTGGGATCTAAATTTACTCCCTAAGTGCTGAATCATTTAGACCATTAACCTACTATCTGCCTTTGTGTTACGTTTGACAAATTCCTGTTATCTGTAAGTTCTCAAGTCACCCCCTCCCTTTTTGCAACTTTCTGTCCTATAAAGCTGTGCTTCTAGAGCGCCACAGGGCTGTCTTCTATTCCCATGGGTTTCAGGAGAGACAGCCCCAGCCAGTCGGAATTAAAAGCTTGCTTTAATTTGATTTCAATTGGAATCAGTGGTCTTTTCTTTGTGACATGGTTTAACAATAACAAGACATACGCAGTCTATAGCATATGTCTCACCAAAAGGTGAAAGATGGAGAAAGGAGCCAATATGACAGCCATTGGTTACATGAGGCCACTGAGTATTTGAAATGTGTTTAGTCTGAATAGAGGTGTGCTATGTGTTAAATAGACATTACATTCCAAAGAATTACTAGGACAAAGAAAATCAACATGAAATATCTTATTAACAATTATTTTCTTTGCAAATTATGTTGGTAATGCATTGGGTTAAATGAAAATATATTAAAATTAATTTCTCTTTTTAAAAAAGCAGTGAAGGAGAACAAGGTAACATTCTGTATCTTGATGGTAGTACTGTATATCCATATAGATATATGTTGTCATTTTTTATATTTGTGTTAACAAAATTATATAACTATAAAACTAATTGGGGTAAATCGTACAATATATAAATTATATCTCAACAAACACGACTTTAAAAAGAAATCTAGTTCATGAAGTGTTTCAACAGTATTGGGCACATACTAACCACCTGATAAATAATGGCTATTATTATGATTCATTAAAAAAAAAAAAACCAGCATCAAGGAGGAGCATGGGAGGAATAGACAAACTCTAGATAGGGCAAAGGCGTGGGAGGGGAGGGGAAGGGGCATGGGGTTAGAAATGATGGTGGAATGTGAGGGACATGATTATCCAAAGTACATGTATGAAGACACGAATGGTGTGAATATACTTTGTATACAGCCAGAGATATGAAAAATTGTGCTCTAAATATGTAATATGAATTATAATGCATTCTGCTGTCACACATAACAAATCAAAATAAAAAATTTTAAAAAGAATCTAAATTCCAGCTTCTGAATGCCAGAGCAGCTTTTCAAACATGAATGTAAAAAAGGGAAAAGGAAATATTGACAGAAATAGAGGCAAACATAGAGGCCAAAGACTAAGGCAGGTAAACAAAACATGGATTCTGGAGTGCCTTGCTCCAGAGCACCTACATTTATCAGAGAAGATGTGTTAAGAATTAATATAGCTGGGAGGATGACAGTAACTGAGCAGGGAGCAAAAAAAGAAAAATTTTTAGTGCCTCCTAAACTGGGACTTCACACTACTGTCATGATCTTCTGAGAAGTGATGACTTCCCAACGTAAAATACAATCAAACAAAAACACTCAAACTAGAGATATGAGAACCTTCTAAAGCCTCTTAAAAGTTGGTCATCCTTACAAAACTGTTTCTATTTCAATATTAGCTGCAAGTAAAGAACCACTTCACCAGGGAAATTCCATATTCGAGTAATACTAACTCAAGGGTAACAGAAAGTCTTCATGTTTACTTTGTTAAAATGAAGGCTTGAAGAAAAATATGCAGGCATTTCTGATATAACACTAAAAGAAATCCTCTCTATTCAGCAATTTTTCACATAGCCAGTAGCAAGCAGAGTGGGTTTAACTGAGCAACATGTACATATTAAAGGGAGACAGCAGCAGGGTGGAGGGGGAACAGCTGTGGGAAAGGAAGAGCAAGGGCTAAAGGGGCCTGGTGAAGGCACACTTCATACTCACTCACACGTCCTTCCAACAAAACTTTCTCTATAGTGGGGATTTGACCTAGGTAATCCCACCGGAGCCACATCCCCAGCTTTTTATTTCTCATATTGAGACAGAATCTCACTAAGTTGCCTAGCTTATTCTCAAACTTGCAATCCTCCTGCCTCAGCCTCCAGTGTAGCTATTTTTATAAACATTTTTTTAGTTGCAGTTGGACACAATATCTTTATTTAGTTGGTGCTGAGTATCGAACCCAGTGCCTTGCACCTGTAGGCGAGTGCTCTACCACTGAGCCACAGCCCCAGCCCCATAGTAGCTGTTTTGTAGGCATGCACTACCATGCTCAGCTTCAACAAGTATTTATTCATTTATTTATTTATGGTATTGAGGACGGAACCCAGGGCGTCACATATGTTAGGTAAGTGTTCTATCACTGCACTCATTCCCATTCCTCAACAAGTATTTATTAAGCACCAACTATATGCCACATGGAAGAAACACAATAGTGAGGAGTGGTGCGTGATCCATGCCCACATGGAGTTTACATTAACTGAGGCAAATATACCCTTAAACTTGCAAATATAATACAGAATTATTCAGCACTAAAGTAAGGGTAAATAAATGAGGAGCCCCTAATCCACGCTGGAGTGTGAAGGGTGAGGAAAAGCTTCCCAGAATAAAGGAGACCAGATACCAAGGCAAATTGCTTAAGTGAAGGCATTATGAACAATTCTATTTAGCTCTTCAGTTAATGTCTTTTTTCCCCAAACATTTTAGTTGTAGATGGATAGCACCCCTTTATTTAATTTTATATGATGTTAAGGATCAAACCCAGTGCCTCACACGTGTTAGGCAATTGCTCTACCGCTGAGCCACAACCCCAGTCCCAGTTAATGTCTTCTTAAATTTATTTATGGCCAAGACAAGAGAACAAAGGAGGTAGACAAAAGTGGTGGGTCAGGGGCTGGGGTTGTGGCTCAGTGGTAGAGTGCTCGCCTAGCACTTTTGAGGAACTGGGTTCAATCCTCAGCACCACATAAAAATTAAATAAAGATATTGTGTTCACCTACAACTAAAAACTAAATATTAAAAAAAAAAAAAGTGTTGGGTCAAAAGACCAGAGATTGGAAGCCAAGCATGGTAGAACATGCCCATAATGCTAGAGGCTCAGGAGGTTGAGGCAGGACTGTGAGTTCAAAGCCAGGTTTAGCAACTTAGCAAGGCCCTCAGCAACTTAGTGAAACCCCATCTCTAAGTAAATGCAAAATCTGGGGTTGTAATTCAATGGTTAAGTGCCCCTAGGTTCAATCCCTGGTACAAAAAAAATAAAATAAGACCAAAGATTGCGACAGGCTGAGCCAATGAGAGTATTATTACAAATACATGCAAGTTTGAGAACACAGGAGGGAAAGCTTAGCTCTGAGAAAGTGAGAGGAGAGGCTTAGGGCGAGTAGTGGAGTGTAAGAGAAAACCGTAGTCAGAGGCTTGGAGCAGATTATGACAGAAGGATATTCATTTCTAACCAACTCCTTCAGCTCAAATAGAATTGCCACTTAGAGCCCATAGTTTATTTATTTATTTTTTTTTGAGAGAGAATTTTTTTTAATATTTATTTTTTAGTTATCGGCGGACACAACATCTCTGTTTGTACGTGGTGCTGAGGATCGAACCCGGGCCGCACGCATGCCAGGCGAGCGTGCTACCGCTTGAACCACATCCCCATCCCAAGAGCCCATAGTTTAAACTGGCACTGTCTTTCTTTTTTTTTTTTTTTAAAGAGAGAGTGAGAGAGAGAGAATTTTTTAATATTTATTTTTAGTTTTCAGCGGACACCTTTGTTTGTATGTGGTGCTGAGGATCGAACCCGGGCCGCATGTACGCCAGGCGAGAGTGCTACCACTTGAGCCACAACCCCAGCCCGGCACTTTCTTTTCTTTTCTTGAAAACTAACCAATATCTGAAAGGCATGCTCAGTTATCCTTCTAGAAAGCCTAAAGAAGCACTTTCTTTCTTCGATATTTTCTCTCATGTTTCAGTCAGGTTCCCTTCTTCCTAAAAGATGGTAAAAAAAATGTCTGTTCTCTGATAAGCAATCAGCTCTCAAAGTCAAATGAAAACTGTCCCTGTCATTGTATTTATAGGTTTCTCCAATGCTGTGTAGAGTTTTGCCAAACCTTTTCTCAAACTCACTACAAGATTTTTTAGTCCATGAGGACTCTGGTGCTGGATGTACTGAAAGCAGCTTTGCCACTGGACATACATATGGCACTTCTCCTTTACTTACATTCTTCTGAGGCTGAGAAAAGATGGTATGCTAACTGACGCTCTTTCCAAACTCCCTGTGTGTACAGGAAATTCCCTGGGGAATGCTTCTCAGGCAATGACATCATGGGGGAATAAATGGCTCACTCTTCCTAAGTAGGTGCTTCACTTTTCTTCCTAATGCTGAACTTCCTTCAGTTTGCATGCTGTAAAGCACTTACTGACCTTCTCGTAATGTTCCAGTATCCATTCAGATCCATGGAAATGTGATGCCAACAAAACCTGAGTGAAAGTAGAAAAAAATTACACGCCTAAATTAAACCTTATTATTATGAGAATCCAACATTTTTCTTCTGATAATTCAAAAGTAAGAAAGAAAACCAAAATGAGGTATGGTTAAGTTTCATATTTTTTTACTTATTCTTTATTTAGATATACATGACAGTAGATTATATTTTCACATACAAATGGAGTATAACTTATTCTAATTAGGATCCCATTGTTGTGGTTGTATATGATGTGGAGTTTCACTGGTGGGGTATTCATATATAAACACAGGAAATTATGCCTGATTTATTCTACTGTCTGTTCTATTCCCATCTTCCCTCCCTTCCCTTCATTCTCCTTTGTGGCCAACTTTCAATTATCCATTATCACTTCATACTTTCAGCTACTAATTTTTAATGACTGTATGACTATCCACTGTGTGTGTGTGTGTGTATGCTGGGGATCTAACCCACCAGTGCTTTACCACTGGGCTTCAATCCCAAACCTTCCCTTAAATTTTTTGAAACAGGGTCTCACAAAGTTGCTGAGAGTCTTGCTAAGTGGCTAAGGCTGGCCTTGAACTCGACAATCCTCCTGTCTCAGCCTCCCAAGTCACTAAGATTATAGGCATAAGCCATGGTATCCTGCTAATTATCCACTTTTTTAAGGAAGTATCATACTTGCTTTATTGTATATTTTTATTGATTTTTTTAAATAAATGACACCAGAATACATTACAATTCTTATTACTCATATAATAAGAATTGTAATGTATTCTGGTTGTATATGAAGTATGTTGGCACTAATTCATGTCTTCATACATGTACTTTGGATAATGATGTCTATCACATTCCACCATCCTTGCTAATCCCCTGCCTGCTTTATTGTATATTTCATGTTCTAAAGAAGATAATAAGCCAATTCTAAAAGTTTTTAAAAATATAACCAAGGGCTTTTTTTGAAAGCTACATTAAAATAAGACTTTAACATGAGATAGTATTAACTCATTCTCTAAAGTAGATCTTCCAAAACCTCAACTGAATATTACAGTCACCTAAATTCTCTTAGTCTCAGAATTTTGTATAAAACAAAAGTAAATGACCCAGCTAGTCATAGTGGCACATGCCTGTAATCCCAGCTACTCTGGAGGCTAAGGCAGGAGGATCTCAAATTCAGGGCCAGCCTCAGCAATTTAGCAAGACCTGAAGCAACTCAGTGAACCCTGTCTCAAAATAAAAAATTTAAAGGGCTGGAATGCAGCTCAGTGGTACAGCGTTTGCCCAACAAATGCATGGCCTTAGTTCAACCCCCCAATACCATTTTTTAAAGAATGACTCAGTTAAAGTTTACATACTACAAATCAAAAGAAAACCACCTAGACATGTCAGTATAATAAACCATACTCCAATTTGGTTGTTTTTGTGGGTTTGGGGCTGAAATTATATAAAAGCAAGTATAAGTACTTTAAAATTTTGATATTTTTCCAGTCCTATTTTATTTAGTATAGCTTTTGATTCCCATTGACCCTAATTAGACACACCTACCCACTTTTAACTAACAATCGGAATAAAAAAGAGCTAGAGAAATGGCCTACACATCCTTTCTTTCTCTCCCCCACCCCACCTCAAATACACATAGACACATTCACCCATCACTCACTCATGCCAGGCCCACTGCTGTTATGACAAGGAGAGTGGACATGGGAATATCTATTTACAAACAGATAACCAGAAACTGGGGACACCAAGATGAGCAAAATTAGATGATTTTACTAAAGAAGAAACTGCAGCTCAACAAGTTATGTGACTGGCCCAAAGCATACAGCCAACAAGAGGCAGAGCTGGAATTCAAACCTAGACCTAACTCCAAAGCCTGTAATCTTAACTCCCTTAAAGACAATTCTGCCATCAGATATATAGACAGAAATATTACAGTATTCTTTTATCTCTTATAATGAGAGAATTGGTCTGTCCAGGGTGGGAAAGAAAAGCTGTTAAACTTTCTTAGAAGATACACTCTTCTAGGTGAGCTGTGAAGACCAGTAACTGAAGAAAAGAGGTTAAGAAAAGGGGAATTCTGGGCAAAAAGAACACAGAGGAAAATAAAATATAGTCAGGGAATTTCAAATCTCCAACTTTTGGATAAGTAAGGGAAGATATTGTGGAAAATAAGAATACTGAGGTGAATAGTAGACAGATGGAGTTAGAGACAGGGTATCTGGATAACTAAACTAAGGCATTAACAACTGAGGGTTTTGGGCTGGGGATGTGGCTCAAGCGGTAGCGCGCTCGCCTGGCATGCGTGCGGCCCGGGTTCGATCCTCAGCACCA